TTTTCATTATAAGCGTACGTTCTGTGCAGATTTAATATAAAATTAAGCTCTTAAAATATCACACTGATAAGTACCGTTCGCACGGCTATATACCACATCATAGTCCATATTTTGACGCAATATTATTTAAAAATCGTAATTAATAGTGAGATTACCAATATAATTTATGTTAAAAATGTATTTCCATTACACCAGAGAGGAAACCGAAGTGGTTATAAAGTAGATAAATGTATGAGTTCGTATTGTGCCAATATTGTGTTCAAAATAATGACAACAGTACGTGCTTGTCCGCAGTTTAAGTTAATTTTGAACGCACAAAGCATTATTTTTACAATTCTATTATTTTTAAGTCAGTGTTATAAATTAACTTTGTAATATCTATACACTAGCGACCCGCCCCGGCTTGGCACGGGTACTATATGTATGTATTATACATATAAAAGCATCTTATGAATCACTCTATCTATTAAAAAACCGCATCAAAATCCGTTGCGTAGTTTTAAAGATCTAAGCATACATAGGGACAGACAGACGGCGGATAGCGACTTTGTTTTATACTATATAGTGATTACAAATTTAGCGATTATTTTAATTAAGAACAATAATTAAATTATGTAATATACTGAGAGGATGATTGTTCTTGGTGGGTTCTCAGGGCGTGAAATTAAGTTCGACACACGAATGACTGTAAATTGTATATTGGAATAAACTTTAAACTATTTACAAAGTTGCACAATAATACAATTGGGTAAAACTCAAATATTCGCGGCACAAGTACTACCCTATATATTACTATACTCTTTGACAAGTACGGAGCGCGTGCGTCACGGCTCCGGCGCGGGACTCGTTGTTCTCTCGCGTCCTCGCAAGCGTCGAGCGGTCAGTGGCGGGGAAGCGGGGGAAGGGAAATAGAGAAGTGGCGTGTTTCCACTAGAGTTGCGCGCGTGCGTCCGACACAAACCAAAATCGAATTGCCGCGTTACAATTATTAAATTTTCATTCTTGTCTAAATTATGTGTTATGGAAAAATTGAGGTATCTACTCCAGTTTATAAATAATGTTTTAAAGTATTCTTATGAAATTATAAAGAAAGAAAACATTATGAAAATTATAATACTTACGAAACAAAGATCATACAAGTTAGGTATGATATTGTTTGAAACTCATTCGGTTAAAATAATAAGACTTCCAAAGTTTTCACACAAAGAAAGCTGTCGTTGAACAAATATTGGATAGCATTGGAAAGAAGAAATTGGAAATTTATTTCCCGGTTTTATGCAACAAAGTTTCCGTTGTTAGCAAATAAAATAACATAAACATAACACAACAGTCAGAGGGTGGCGCATTATACCACTGTACAATGTAACACCCACTTTTCACTATTTATGTTATGAGTCCCATGTAATGGGGAGGAGAGCCTATTGCCATATACCAAGAACAATTCCAGACTCCGTGCTACCACTGAGAATATTTAAAAAACTCAGTACTACTTTGACCGACCCGGAAATCGAACCCGAGACCCCTTGCCCAGCAGTCCCACTTACGACCACTCGGCCAACGAGGTAGACAGCAAATTAAATAATGGCTAAAATTGGCTTCTTTTTAGAATAAAAATATATTTTGAAGCCATCAGTAACTTTTGTGATATTTAATATCTGTTAGGTTATTTTAAAACGTCAATAACACAACTTCGCGTTGATTATTATCTAAAAACGTACCTGATCCAATCATATTACCCATTATTGAACAATTTTAAAAATCAATAAGCCAGAAGTCAGTCCGCGACCAGGGAATTAAACTCGTTATAAGAGAAGACGAGAGAGATTAGTAGGAGAGGAAAATCATCGAATGACTGCTCCCGCCTGGGTGAGGCGGGAAGGAGTGTCAGACTCTGTGACTAAAAACCACCCCGTTCCTTCTCCTTGCATGACGAGCCGGAGCCCCGGTAACCCTATAGGTTTTCCGCGATCCCGAGATCGTCTCGCGATCTCCGACGCCCAGTGTGTCCATCGCGATGGCTTTTATAATGTTTTAAGGAATAATGTACATACTATTAGTGTAAAAATTATTTGTAACTGCTGTTACGTGTTCCATTATAAGTACTTAGATATACTTACTTGATTAAAACTGTACAAAATGTATATTCACGTAATCTCTACGTGATGGACTGTTGATTAAATCATAAACAATCTAGATTAAAAATGGATATATTAAAACGAAACACAAAAGGGAATCAAATTCGAAGTTTCATTCGAACTATATGATACTGAATGCAAACTAATATCAAACGACTAAATTCCAACCACAACCGAGTGAACTGGTCCACTGCCATCAAAGAAATTGAATTCTCGTTAAGTTTGACTACAAACAAAGTTCCTAGCACCTAAAACCTACAAACACTGAATGCTCTCCCCAATGTGTCTGTGACAGAGAAACAAATCAAACTGCACCTCTCCAGTATAAATCGACCTTCAATCATATCAATTTTACCTGTATTAAGAGACCAATTTATACTAGACTATCAGTACTAATTGCGGTCGATTCAGTGTATTAATTATTATGAAAGATTCAAAGGCACATGGGGACTGAAAAGTCGAATACTACGAATAAGATGGTAGCTGAATTTAGTTTACAAAGCTTTATATTGTTTAGAGTGGACTCAACCCATGTTATGCAGGAACGCACACAGATCTACCTACGCGAAACACAATGTACATATTTTCTATAAGCAGAGGTGCACACAGAAGTAACACCCACTTTTCACTATTTATGTTATGAGTTCCATGTAATAGGGGGTGAGCCTATTGCCATATACCGGGCACAATTCCAGACTCAGTGCTACTACAGATTTTTTTTTAAAACCCAGTAATACTTTGCCCGACCTGGGAATCGAATCCGAGACCTTTTGCCCGGCAGTTGCACTTGTGGCCACTTGGTCAACGAGGCAGTGGCAACTTGTCCAACGTATATTTTCTATAGTGTGTCATATACCGGCACTCAAGAGGTTAATAAATGTGTTTCTGAATTGGTACATCCCATAAGGTGTTTTTACGATTTAAATAACTGAATTAATTCCTAGTGTTGAACTACCAACGAATTGTAATTCAGACTTGCTGAGTTAGATGGAAAACTTAATTGGTAAAATGAATGAAAATGAAATGAAGCTAGTCGCGGAAACTCCAGTGCGACATAATTCTTATACTTGGCTATCCAAAAGAAAAAAAAACAAATATTCAGAAACTGTTGACGTATCAATTAATACCGCATTCATTAGTATGCACTTAAGTTCTAAATTAATTTACATCGTTTCACCGAAGCCCTGTAAGCCGATTACGTACATAACCTCACTGTCTGTAGATATTAGAGATATCGGTAGATATTAGACACAACTTCTTTGAGAAAAAAAAATGTGGTTAATGTAGCACGTAAGATTTCTGTAACAATTAATTTAGACTGTAAATTAAAAGAAAATGTAATGGAATGACAAGGGCACGGACAAAAGTCCGTGGAGAATAAGAAATGTAACATAAAAAAAAACCTCACGTCTGTCTCCAATGGAGGTAGGCAGAGACTATGGAACGCTAATTACTACGATTCTTACATAAATCTCTTTCGCTTATTCGATTCGTCTTCCATAGTATTGAAAAGGTGTTTTCGTACCTCACTTTGATATTCCAGATTTTTTGGTAATGCATTCATATTTGATGATAGAAAAGTATACCTTGTTAATGGATGGAAAATGATAAATCCAAATGGTTTACTTCAGTGGAACTAAAATTTGAAATAAAAGTAAATTTGTCTGAAAACTCTGGTAACGTTATTCACCTCTACCCACTAAAAGGGTGGATAGGTTTCCAATTCCCTTTGTAAGGATATTATTTGTGCGTAGACAGTACGATGTGATAGCGCCCACTATTTATAATGCTGCACTCAAATTAAAAGTATATAGAAAATAAAGATAGGAAGACTTCAAACTACAAATTTAAATTCTCAATAATGAAATAGCTTCAGAAAATGACTCACGATGAAACAGAAACACTGCTTCATAAATAACTAAAAAACTTAAATAAATAAGTGTTTAAAAAACCCACCATGCGCCTCCCCCCTTACCCCCCACACACTTACACACACATTCATACTCCCAACACTCTTTTTCTCTCTCTCATGGTAGTAATATTGGCTACCATTTACTACAAGATTTGTGATCGTTATAGTATCACGTAGCGCTTCATGTTACTAAACACATCGTTCGCTCAGTGAATCTGTAACTTTGCATAACTATACTCAGTACCCACCTCCAATTATGCAGAAAGCACACGTCAAACAAACCCGTGTGATTGAAAATGTATACTCCAGTAACTAAGTTAGCTAAGTAAGAGTAAAGTAGGGCGCAACGCTCAATGTTATGCAGCGTAACTTGACTTATATATTTGAACGATCAGAAAATATAACCTTATTATGCTACGAAAGGAAAAAACATTTAAAAAAATAAAGAAATATGGGACATAGTTTCAGACTCCGTGTGTAACTGAGCAAATTACTATCGGAAAAACTCGTCATCGGAAATCGCATTTCGGGCTTCAGAGACCACGTAATCGGTTTAGGAAAACTGCTATGAATAAGAACAAACATTTTATGTAATACAACAACATGGGTTATGTGATAAAATAAGTAGTAGCATAGTCAAATCTTGTGTTTAATTTAACGGATTTAAATGCCATTGCTACATATTCATCAGCATCGTTTGAAGTAACATAATTATGTAATTAATGAATCATAAAATTTGGATGGACATTAACTGTACTTCTTCTCTTTCGTATATCTTCTGTACTCGCATTACTCATTAAACATTGTTCCATCAATCAAATAGTTCAAAAGTACTTCTTACTACAGTATAGGTACTGGAGTAAGAAGTTTGTAGGCTTCATCACCTTCTATGCAGTAGAAACTATCACTCATATATCATGTTCTTGTTCATAATCTGTTGGTTCATGTTGCAGTGGCGAGTCCACCGGGAGGCGCGACTGCTCCACGAGAGGAAGCACCACCCCGCCCCCCGCCACCACCCGCGCCCCGCAACGGCACCCCTCCTAGTAAGCACGGTTTTAAAAATGTGGCAGTTGTGGCAATAGGAATACATCTTGTCATTTTAAAAATAGAAAAAAAAAACAAAATGTTCGATTTATTTCGTACAAAGTCATAGCGGCTTCTCACTTGCATGCAAAGAGACTGACTGACTATTTTGACAATTAAAAGTTAATCATGTTCCCTACACATAATTGTGTAGACATATCATGTGTACATAACTCGTAGAATACGACATATTGGCCTTGATTTTAATGTAAAAACCAGAAACTAAGTAAGTTTTGAGGAAAATGTTAAATTAGGTTATAATATGAAAACTTTTCGTGAAAGTTCAGAGACTTTTCAATTTAAATTCAGACTGTGACTGAAATACACGTGTAACATGTTTTTCTTTGAGCATAACCAAGTCTATCAGATGTGGAGGAAAACTGAATATATGGCTGAAAAGCTATTGACAGTATTTGATTAATTAGAAAAAAAATACCAAACCAAAAACTTATACTATTCCTCAATCGCATGAACATTTTCCAGGATGGAAATTATCTATCGCCACAGCTGCCACATATCGTGCACGTTACCTTTCGTCTGTCGTCGTTTGTTTTCGACTCCCGCGCATCCAACACTTCACGCTTACGTCATTTGTACGATGATTACTATTCCTCTACAGTATATACATTGGCCAATGTTACATACATGCAGAATGTATTTTTCAAAATAAAGTGCAGTGAAATGGAAAAGCAATGCGTTTTATATAAATACTACGACAAAATAACATTAAGCCGTTTGTGGTTAAAAAGTGGTATTTAGTAAATAGATTATTAAAAGTACACAGAAATCTGAAGTCGCATTTTTATAATAACTATATTGAGACTTACTAAAAATAACGCTTTACTTTACTCACTTGCTCGCGGTGACATTGCACACTGCTCGTGAAGAAGAGTCCCTGTGTGACTCGAAACTAGTAGAGCTTTTCTCAATACGTTTACGTGAGAAAACCGGTATTAATTCTCAGTTATTCTGAAGTACGACGTTTCAAATACATGTCTAGGAAACTTAAAACTCTCCTATAATATTCCTACCATACATCAAAATGTGAGTAACATTGGTCATCTTTTAAAACCCCTTTTTCAGTTCTATACTCCTGTTGTATAGTTTTAATAGGATTTTGTTTTCGAGACTAAAGACACTTGCCTATACTTGAGCCTTAGGTAACCCTTATATTGTATGTAGTTCCCTAACTACTTACCTTGATAGTTTACAAAATACCCTATGCACAAATAGTTCCCTTACAATGTAGTTTTAGATCTTTGCGAACCTATACTGCTTACAATTTCTCTCTCTTGTCGTTAAATGTCACTGGATCTATTTCTTCAAATTATTGCGCAGGACTTTATGACGACCACTATTTGAAACGATTGCATTAGACATTATGTAATCTTCCGTACTTTCTTTGGCGCACAGAAATAATTTTATCTTATACTATTATATAAAACGGAAGAGTTTGTTTGTTTGTTTGAACGCGCTAATCTCCGTAACTACAAGTTTGATTGGAATAACTCTTTTTGTGTTAGATAGCGCATTTATCAAGAATGGCTATAGGCATATCGAACATTACGCTACAACCAATAGGAGCTGAGCAGAGCGTGTGAAACCGCGCGAAAGTAGCTAATTTCATGGAACTTTTACAAATATCTTCATTTATATTCATCAATGAAAACACAACAAATGACTCAATCCATTCTTAACACATTTTATCATAGCCTAATAAGTTAATAAAATATAAAACAAACAAATAACAAATGTTTCATTTAAAACCTTTGTTACACATGTAAAACCCTACATTAATTATAATTAAAACTATATTTATAAACAAAATTATAATTTAATTTGTACTACACGAAACTAACCCTAGTCCGTCTTAGTATAAACAAACTGAACAGCCTAAATACCACTTAAATGTGAACATCTAAATTCACATTCTGTTTTAGTTGATACTATTTCATGATGTTCTACACAATTCTACAGTCCATATCGACGTAGGAAATGTTCAAATGTTCATTGTATTTTAATGCTACACTTCGCTACATTTCGGACTCACAATTAACATAGACTACAAAGATGTTTACTACTAATTCCTTGTTCCACATTTAAATACTGTATTTATGCAAATGCTATAAGGAATAGCTACGAGATAGAGGAAAATCACCATCGTCACCACTGTTACAAAGAGTGCTTAAGTGTGGTAGAATAGAGATGATGACTAGGTAAGAACATAGTTTGTCCAATCGGCCAAGAGGATTGCGAAATATTTTAGTATACTTTATTTAGTTTACTTGCTTAACTATTATAGGAATGACTTGAAAACTATTCCTATACTGACAATATTTTTTGCCATCATAAACTGCTTTTTAAACACATTTTTTTTTATTTTGATCAAATTATTTCATAAACCTCTGTGTGTGTGTTTTCATAATTATATTTTTTACTTCAGCAAATTTTTTTTTTCATCTTTATATGTTGTATTTCTCCTCTCCTATTTCTACCTACATAAAATATGTTTTTGAAACCTAAATTTTTCTTCTCAATGTTGTGTTGCATGGGTTTGTATAAATGTTATTGTGGAACTAATTATTATTTTTCTAAACTCTATTAATTACTTTCTTCTTGAAAAATAAATTGTAATTTATGTTTTTGTTTTAAAATTTTCAATGTGGTTCTACAGTTCTCTCTTTTAATTTTGTTCTCTTCTATGTTTAGTCTACTATTCTCCAATATCCTTTATGTACTATTTAGAAGAATGTAACTAATAGCACGTTACTTCTATTAGTGTTAGCCACCAGAATCTATCCCTACTTAAGCCATTTTTCCTAAATATTTCCTCTTATCGTCCTGAAAGAAAATATGATCGATAAAATAAACTATCAGTTCTAACATTTTTTTCAGTCACGATGTAAACATATAAATCTAAATTAAGGAACCACTATCCTTAAGCCCATGGACCTCTAAGATCCTATGCTATAAATAAAAGTAAAACTTTATAAAAGACATTTACGATTTTCCTTTTTATCCTAATGGTTGGAGTGGATTAGGTCAATGACGTATCTTGTTAATTTAATATTTTGTGCATCCGAAAATATAAACGTACCTCTACATACCGAAAACAGAATATAATATGTACCTAGTCTTGTACTCAAAGGCAATTTTAAAAAGAAATATGTACTATACTGTAAACTCCAACAGGCGTAATTTTACTTATTTTATCCAGTTGTCAAACTATTTATTTTTTGAAACTCTTGGAGCTACATTTTATCATATTTATATGACGAAGACAAGTTACATAAAAATGAAAAATAAATATTATATTTTTGTACCTATCGTGAAAATCCTTTCTATAAACGTTTTGATAAGAACATAACATAACATCACGCCTTTTATCCTCGAAGAGGTAGGCAGAGATGTACATTACGGCAATTAATGCCACTGTACAATGTAACACCCACTTTTCACTATTTATGTAATGAGTCCCATGTAATAGGGAGTGAGCCTATTGCCATATACCGGGCACATTCCAGGCTCCGTGCTACTACTGCGAATTTAAAAAACCCAGTAGTACATTGCACGACCCGGGAATTGAACCCGAGCCCCCTTGCCCGGCAGTCACACTTGCGACCACTCGGTCAACGAGGCAATCACGTTTTGATAGGAAAATCAACACTTATAAAATGTGTATTTTAAATAACAAAACATCCGAATTCCGAAAGCAGCATTTCGCAGTCAAACATCAATATTGGAGACCCTCAAAATTTCCAATCCGATATATTTTTTTTTATTTTGTGCGAATTCTACAACCATCCCATTTCACAAGCAAAAGTTATCGGTGACATAAAAACCGGAACACAGATAGATCCATGAAAATTCTACCGGCTCTGATTCGTATACGTCTCATTTCGACATAAACGGGGGCTGTTAAAAGCTTAGCACTCAAAACAAACCTTTTTAACGATCGGTTTACTGCCCAAACGTGAAAGGTAAGCTTGCCGTCAAAATGGCCGCGTTTGGGAAGTAATTTATTACATGAAGCCTTAAAAAACAATGGTGGGAAATGGATAAGTTTCATCGGTTTTCTATGCTGGATATTTAGAGTCATTTTCACTTTGGTACGTGTTTTCCTAACCTAGCACCATGATTTCATGTCCCTTACTTAATAGGCGTATCTTTATTATCTTGTACCCCAACATCATATGCGTTGTATGTCCTAAAGAAGGCATCATCATCATCATAACATCACGCCTTTTATCCCCGAAGGGGTAGGCAGAGGTGCACACAGAAGTAACACCCACTTTTCACTATTTGTCTTATGAGTCCCATATTATAAGGGGTGTGGGGTAATTTTTAATTAGTAAGAGTCGGAATAATCTATTCGGAGCATAATCTCCCACCCATGCAATAGGGGTGAGCCTATTGCCATATACCGGGCACAATTCCAGACTCTGTGCTACTACTGAGATTTTTTATAAAATCCCAGTATTACGTTGCCCGACACGGGAATCGAACCCGAGACCCCTTGCCTGGCAGTCGCACTTGCGACCACTCGGCCAACGAGGCAATCGTAAAGTAGTAAAGTAAGCACTCGTGTAATATTTTCCACCTCGCAGAAAACCGTCGTGTTTGTGAGGTTACCAGAAGCCCAATTACTCTCCCCCCAACCCCAATCTCCTCAATCCTTGAATCACCGACAATCCTCAAATTCCTGATCTCTAAAAGGCCGGTAAGTAACTTGTAACACCTGTTGTTTTCCGGGTGTCCGTGCGCGACGCTGATTGCTTACCATCAGTTGATCCGTCTGCTTTACCGACTTATCACATAAAAAATCATTATTGTCACATGAATATAAGTAAATGACGAATCTAATAAAATAAATTTCTAAAATAAGAAATCCATCAGTATTCTTTCCCCAACCCCTATTTCTGTAGTCACGATTGTTACCACTCCAATAGAAGAGATAGCATCATAATTCTTATCATATTCCTAGCAACAATGTCCACTCCACTGCATCTATCCATATTTCATTTCAAACGTTCAAGAGTTCACGAATGACTTTCCGAATCATTTCCAAGTCGTAAGTGTTGTATTATGTGAAAACTTCTATATTCTTACGCAGCCAATAAACATAAGTCAGTGTTACCATATGAAATATTTTACGTGGCAAAAGAATTCGTTCATCATACAAGTTACCTTCATATTTCTCGCTCATACAAATAACTTATTTGTTACCAAGATTGCGTATTTTCTTTTGATGAACTGCGGAAGCGTTTCTATATAGTCTGTGGTGGAATATTCATAGTGTTGGTCGGTTTATTAATAACTCGTATAAATTGTGGCTGTATAGAATCTCTTGGTTAGGCAGAATGTGTTTCTTAAAGGGTCGTTTCCCTGAGCAGTGATGAATATAGGAAAGTACCTATTTAAAAAGAAATTTGTTAGGTTTTGGTATGTCTACTAAGTTAACAGTTTGATATTTTAGTTCAAATGTACAAAATTACAATTTCTAACTATTTTTAAACGACAAACGTATAATTTTATATCCATTTTTAAAATATCTCACTTCATTCCGAATAAACCAAGTCATTGCTTTTAAATCTTGGAAAATATTACAAACTGCAGAAGCATTTCGCAATCAAATTACAATTTCAATTTGTCTACCGCCAGCGATGCAATTCTGGTTCCCTCCGGTTGCCATGGCAATGGGCGCGTCAACAACTCGACGGACAGCCCGTGATATTATCTCGGCTACTTTATGCTCTGAATGAATGAATAAATCGAAAATATGTTATCTGTGCTCAGATATTTTATTTCTGAACATCTGTTGTTCATATTTTGAACCCCTACATTATTATTTACCTGTGCACAGTTTGTGTATTGAATAATGAAAATTGATGAGGGCGCCACAAGTCGTGAGGACCAACCAAATAAAATCCAAAACTAGCCTATTAATAAATGTGCAATGTAAACAATCCTAATTTTAGACATACAATCGTTAATTTTGTAGGTTTTTAACTTCTGGCAGATAAAATCTTATGAACAGTAGTACGAGTCCTACCTGCTATACTATGCTGTTTGAGCGAAAACCTACCTAATAGTATTTTGATAAAATTTGACCATTTTCTTGTTCTATTGAAAATTACTTCATACTCGAAATTATCCTGTCTAGTATATAAAAGTAAAACCTAGTTAAACTCCACTCCAAATTATGATCTTGCATGTAGTTCATTAAACATGCAAGAGGACAATTTGGAGTCTTCTAAGTTGTATTCCCTTAAATTCGAATCTAGTACCTTTTAACATAAAAAAAAAATCCGAAAAACAAACTCGATCACAGATGATGACATTCAACGTACTTTCATTGAGTGTTGCCATGGTTTTAATATTGTTATTTCCCCAAACATTCGTCGTCGTTCTTAAGTTAAAAAACTATATTTACCAAATATAACCGATTCATAAATCAATGACAATGATGATGTACTCACATTGCACAAAAGCAACTAAAACTACAATAGATAATAATACAGTACCTAATCATAGAATATGCGAATAATTTTGTTGCATGCCAACTATTCGCAGTGCACATTCACTAAACTGATGCTAATGCTAGTGCAATCCGCTAATGCAAGCGAAATTATTACTTAGCCGATAAAGGCCGAATAATGCGATGAATCTAGCCGATCACGTTGTAGGTATAAACCACGTAGTCCAAACTCGACTTACTGATGGTAGTTGTTAATAGGCATATAGGATTTTGAGTTTGTTTGTTAGTAATGATTATTCAGTTTTAGTAAAGACTAAAATTTTTTGTTTCCTTTACTATAAAGTTTAAGTCAATTATGAACATGATCACATGTAGGCGCAGTGCCATCAAATAACTCATAAATTTATATGAAGACTAAAAATCTGTTTATTTTAAGATTTCGTTCAAAAATATAACTCTCCTGCACTACCATGGCTGCTTTGAAAGGCAGACTAAGAATTTTATTTTTATAATTTTACAAGCAAAGCTTAAAACGAGACACAAAACGCCGCTTCACAAGTCTCAGAGGACTCTAAACTTTCTTAGCGCAACAAATCTAATTAAACTCTAGAGAAAATACTGAGAATTTAAAAATAAAATCATTTTCCTTTTTACTCTGTAAGGTTTATAATTAGCCGTTCTTAGAAGACATAATTGAATATAAAAAGCATTTTACATTGTCATTTTCTTTTCTCAGGTCAACACGGAAGTCTTATAGAAAATCGTGAGTACAAATTTTGTTGGAAAAAATAGAGATTTTTCTATCTAACAAACTAACTAACAAATCTAGCATTTTTACTAACATTCTAACTCAAAATTTCGCTTCGGGATAAATGCTGTACTGATAAAATGCATGTTATAAATTCAATCAACTAGAAAAGAGTTCTGTTGGAATATAAAAAAAAAATACGCACGCATAAAATACAAAAAAATCATAAATTCACGTTCTGAATTTAAAATCACACGTGCCGTTTGAAGTACGAAAAATAAACAAACCGATATCATCTGTGGAATCTAGATATGCTCGGGATTCAAATTCTGAATGCAAAATAAAAATGGCGGGCTTAAACAAACTTTATTGGTAGTGGTGGTTTTGAGCAAGTTTAGGAAAAACCTTTTTGTTTTATTGTGCATGGTGATGGTGATACTAAAAACTGTAACACCTAAAAAAATTGTGCATTTAAAATGTATTACAATGTAAGTGCTTAGATATAAGACCTAATGTAAAAAAAACTGGTTGTCCATATTATAAATAAATAAATAAATAAATAAATAAGTAACAAAAAAAAAAATACATATGAACCTAAAGGTAATCATTTCTCACCACCAAGCTCTATATCGAATTAAAAAAAGAAATTTGTCATGTCTTCCTACTTCTTCGTAAGCGCCAGGACACTGTCCTGAGAGAAAAATTATCGTGATGAATTTCTTTTACGATTTTCTTCACTCAATATTATCTATAATTATGGATACCTACCCTTCTATACGTTTCGTCGTTTCGTTCGTCGCCCTATACCTACGTTTCTTACACATTTTTTAATTATTGTTGAATGCGTCTGAATGTGCATGTTCTTTTAGGATTTCTTGTAATATTCTTTACTTATTTTTGTAGATAAACCTTGCATCTGCATGCAAAAGGAGTTTTAATTTAATCTGGTTGTTTGGTATTTTTCTATACTTCTGTTTATGATAATTGAAAATTTTCCGTTTCTTAAAAAATAGTAATGTTTTAGTACAAATTAAATATACAGTCACCAAAACTGACTAGATTATTTGCTAAATTGATATCGAATGATACGACATCTGGTGAATGTGCCGCTCGTAAACAGTTGGTGTGCGGTGCTTTCGCTCATCTAACGTGGCCGCAGTATTAGATTCAAAGTTACATAAACTAAAACATTGCTATTTCTAACCATCATATTATTGTATTAAGTCTCATTTTAATCCAATTTTCGTTTGTCAACAGAACAAGGTGCCCTGACAATCGTGCGCCGCTCCTCAAGCCGCAGTAAGGCTGAGAGTTGTCCCACGCCCACTGATGAACAACTCGACTCACTTGACTTAGACACCGAGCACTTGCCCGCCGTCGACACGCCCGATGCATGTGACAAGGCCGCTCTTAGGTAAATATCTTTATACCTTATTTAGAACTAATAATAATGTTACTTATATGTATGTGTTTAAATTCGAAAATGCGTTGTTTTTTTATCACTTCATAGACTTTCCTGTACCCGTCAATGAGATTTTAAACATAAACTCGTAACTCACTCAATATTTCACCTGTCTCAGCTATTCATCCTCAAGACAATATATGGTTCTCAAATTTTCATTGATACTTTGTCATTTGGTGTTATTTGGTCCTCTTCCAAACTCTTCAAGATAGCAACACAATGAAACGAATTATGTTTTTATCGTAATAAGAAACCCAAACAGATCTTCCTCGCAATGTTAAGTATCTAAAATACATTAAATTTTAAGTAGATAGATACATATAACTTTCAAGTCGCCAAACATTCCACCCCGGATACACGTTTCTGTTAGTTTAGGATGACTGCAAACTTGGTGAGCCTTTTATACTTTGAATAACCACGATGTCTTTAATATACGGACTTAAAGATCTTTGACAAATAACTTTTGATACTTACTCATATATATCGAGTAGAAGCCATATAGCCAAGTGAGTAACGTTTATTATAATACCTAACGAACGACTTATTATAATATATAACGAATAACATTTGCTAATTCTTCAAGTGAAATATACAGAACATTTCTGGACTGTACTGTATGGGAGCACCTAAGACTTTCTTTTGACTTCTATACTACATGCATTAACAAATAACATGCTAATTAACATTAAGAATCTCAAAATCAAACTTTTATGATTGTTGCTATTTGTCCTACCCATCCAAGAAGCGATATTATTGTTCTGCCAAAGAAAAGTGAACTAATAAAATGTTTATTGAAACTGTCTCTTTACAAAAGGATTTAAAATCCCATTACTAAATCCCATAAGAAGGTTTTTATCCTTTTTTCGTGGAGTTACGAAAGAGAATTAAATTCCCTTTAAAAATCTTTCATCTTTTGTATTCCAAATGCAGGAATAAAATATGATAAAAGAGTTGGTGCTCTTTAAAAATAATAGGACGCGTTTTGACGTAATATTGTTATTAAAAAAAAATTTAAGAAATAAGGTAAATAAGTATGAAACTGTTCAAAGTCTCGCCTTATTATCTTTTGTTGTATATTTCTATTCAACTAACTATATTCTGACGTAAGTCCTATTTAGTTTGCTTATTCTCCAATTTGATTTGTTTCTTCTCTGATTCTGAAACAAAGTTGGTTAAAATTTTATACAAATAAGAAATCACAGCTCAAGGACTCAGCAGACTGTCTCATTGGCCGAGTGGTCAAAAAAAAGACTGCCGGGTAAGGGGTCTCGGGTTCGATTCCCGGATCGGGCAAAGTATCAAAAAAAAATAAAAAAATCTCAATAATAACACGGAGTCTGGAATTGTGCCCGGTATATGGCAATATGCTCACCCCCTATTACATGGGACTCATAACATAAATAGTGAAAAGTGGGTGTTACATTGTACAGTACTCCCTACCCCTTCGGGGATAAAAGGCGTGATGTTATGTTATGTTAAAAAAAAAAAATCTATAATTAAATCAATGTACTAAAATATTTATAATAAGCCATTTAATAAATAAAAAAAAAGTTGTAAATAATAAACTTAAAGTAACTTATATTAAAAAAGTATTAAGTTGAAAGAAAATATAGCAAAAAAATAATCTCAGGTTAAAATTAATAATAATAAAGTCGTCATTTAATCTAAAGACTGCACCCCAGGGAGATAGGTCCTCAGCATAATTTATAGTTTAATCCCGACTGAGTTAATGAAAGACATCTGAAACCTGCTTTGTTCTTCAGAAATTACATTTATTTGTCACTACATAACATTTGTCGAGGTCTTTACTAAGAAAAAGGTGATATTTTCTTCTGTAAAAATATTCTGAAAATGTTCACGAGGATTTTTTCATCGTTCCTATGGGAGCTTAGCGATTCTCACGTAAATTTTGTATGGTAATTGCTTCGCTCTGAAGGGTTGTTGCATGATGTTAGATAATCTGAAACTCGAAGACTTAAAATAAATATTTTGTGTACTTAACTTTATACGAGTTGGTGTAGGCGTTTCTGAAAATAGTGAATATGAATAAGTTTTTAATCGATTAGGTTATGATCTTTTCTTTAGATATTTCTGTAATATGAACTACATAGGTTGATATCAAACTGAGAATCAAAGCTTACAATCGAACCCATACTTTGAGCGCAGTAATTGAAAGCCAATATTTTACCATAGTCAAAGTAATATAGTATTTAAACTTCATACACAGGTTACTTAACTCACAGAAAAGTCAAAACGGGATCCACTACTTCATCATCGACAGCCCATTATGCCCATTGCTGAGTAAAGCCTCTTCTCACATAGAGAAGGTTAGAGCATTAATCACCACGCTTGCTCAATGCGGGTTGGCGATTTCAAACTTATAATTAGAAATTATAAGTCCAGGTTTCCTCATGATGTTTTTCCTTCACCGTTTATTACTTGCGTTGATGTTTGCAAACCACTTTGTATTACTTAGTATCCTATGTAGTGATTCTGTTGAAGTTTGTCTCTTTGAGGAGTTAGAGGTGACTTGATGCTTTGTATGTGGTGTCTAAATAATCTTAGAAAGTACATATAGCTCGGAAAAAGTCACGTTGGTACTTGCCGTTGGTAGGTTTCGAACCCGCACCCTCATGCATGAGAAGCGGGCGTCTTAAACCTCCGGGCCACCACGACTCTGATCCACTAGTTACCGTTAACCGCCACGTAGGTCACCGGTAACCTATGTTAGAGGAGTATCTGCCTTCAACAGTTTTCCAAACTTACCTTCTACAGTCCAAGGCTTACCAAACCAGGTCAAAAAACTCATGATGAACATCCTCACAACATTCAACTTGACTATCAACGCAATCAGCTTACTCGTCCTATCTTAATAACATTTACATCAATCCGACAGCCGACCAAATAAAGTTTGCGGCACACGGATATTTCCGTTCATTGTGGAGTAATAAGGTCAATTATTCCGAATGATTTCGTCCGGCACCGGAGGGGGATCGGAACGCAAACCGGATTGCTTTTAAACAGCTTATGAAGCACACTGAATGGTTATTGTTGAATAGTTCTTTGCAGTCCATTGTGTTTATTTTGCGAAGTAAATGGTCCGTTTGGGATAAGTTTTTGGTTTTATTTTTGTTGGTATTTTGCTCTAGGTATGGGATCACGTGTCATAATGCCTATAACTAGTAAGCATCACCTTTCTATATAAATAACTGTTATTGATGGATAGTTAGCAAACGTTCGTGTTTATATTATCAATTAAATCTTACTTACCCCTGTAAAAAGTCGTAGGCTCATCTAGTAATAGGCTATCATACAAAAAAATTATATGAAAAGTAAAAATACACTGACAATTTTCCCCTTAGATGTTAAATTACTTGTCAGAATAAAGTAATTATCATCAAGATTCGTAACTAACTGCCGTACTGTAAAAGTCGATTCAACCCCAGCATAAAATTCTCTATGGAATATTCCAGATATTTTTTGCAAAGCGGCATTACCGGCAACTTGACCTCAAAACGCAGGCCGCGACATCTTGAAAGTATTTTTATAAAAAGTCAGGAGTCGCAAGGGCTAATGTTGTTCGCAAATTCTTGACGGCTTTTTATTCTTCAAGACTTTAATATAGAACTTGGAAGGGTGCGTTGTATTCTTAAATGTTATAAATTTCCTGAGTTGCAGACGTCTGGTGATACAAGATAGGTTCTAATATTATGAGGTTGGATACCTAAGCTTTTAGTAAACTATTTTGATACTGACTGTCAACTTAAGATCAGACATCACGCCTTTTATCCCCAAAGGGTAGGTGGTCTGTGCACATTATAGCACTTAATCCCACTGTACAATGTAACACCCACTTTTCACTATTTATGTTATGAGTCCAATATAATAGAGTGTGAGTCTATTGCCATATACCTGGCACATTTCCAGCCTTCGTACAACTGACGATATTTTTTTTTAAATCCAGTTACAGTTACTTTGCCCGTCCCGGGAATTGAACCCCAGACCCATTTCCCGGCACTCGCACTTGCGACCACTCGGCTAACGAGGCAGTCGACTGAAGCAAATATATCTTACTGGTTGATCGCTACTTAATATTGTTTATAGAAATCCATTGGTAACAACCATTCACGAAATAATGACATTTTAAAACTGGTGAAACCTAAAAACTAAGAGGAAAACAAACTATTAAGAGTTATTTCTGGTTTGATTAACCACTTTCGAAAAGATTGTTATCATTTTTTTATAATCTTGCTTTACAGTTGCATCTCCAAGTATAATCTTTACTTATACTCTATTAGTGTCGCGGAGAACCTAACGGGTTACCGGGGCTTCGGCTCGACGTGCAAGAGAAGTAACGGGGTGGTTTTTAGTCAGTAAGAGTCTGACACTCCCTCCCGCCTCACCCAGACGAGAGCAGTCATTCGATGATTTTTCCCCACTTAAAAAAAACTCTATTAGTACTCTATCATATTTAGTGTCGAAGTCGATGGAAGTACATCATCTCTAGGTCTTTATATATAATTCAATACAAAATAATATTCTAGTGAACTCTCTGAGCCGCGAACAATAGCAGTTATTGGTCATCACAGATCAAACGAGTGGATGTAACATGATTGTGAACGGATCACTGGCAACCATATTACAATGAATATTACACGATACACATTCTATGTCTATACTTATATCGGAAGTTATTGCAATGGTGATACTACATACTATCTAGTAATAATATTATGGGTTTTCTTGTCAAGAAAATCAAATAAGGCGTGAGATCGCTCAGGTTTTAAAATTCTAATGTGCATTACACAGTACTAGACACACTACTTTGTATTTTTTTTTTGTAACTTTGGTTATATACAAAACTAGCAGTAAGCAATGAGCATCCTAAAATAACGATTTTCCTTAATTTTGATAGAATTGGGACGACTCTTAACAGATTTACACAACTATTA